TATTATAGGCCGAGGATACAAGAGTTCAATTCAATATTAATTCACAAAGGATAAACAGAGAATTTTGCAAGCGAGAATGATTTATGGTTCAATCGAAATGTCTACAATATCTATTTGTGGTCACGTCTAAGACCTCTAAGCGTAACGTCTTCTTCATCGGACAAGGGTGCTGGTAAGGAAATAGGAGTGGGAGTGGGAGTACGTAGATTAGTTGAAGAAGACGCCGATGGCAGGGTTTCTTGGGGCATGGCTGCAACGATTGCACGTCGGTATTCATAGTACTCGATTAGCTTCTTGATAATCCAGTAAATGCTCGAGTAGATGTAACAGTAAATCCGATAGAAGATCGACTAAATTGTTAAGACTGAGTTCTCATAGGCAAGAAAGAAAGTACCTCTTGCGATCTACGATGATAAGCCAGGAAGGCGATGCGTTTTCGTAGGTTGTCAATTTTCTCTTCGCCATCAACGTCAATGTCCATCAGTTTTGACAGTCTTTCCGCAGCCTCAGTAGCATCCTAAAAGCGAAGACATCAGGAAGAGAACATGTGAGGTGTTGAATGAAAAAATCGGGCACTGGGAATTTTTAGAAGGCGTAATTCACCTTTTTACCGTAGGCCTGTAATCCCACTAGGTGTTTGAAATGAAAAGAGAACTAAATTTGCAGCAGTACGACGTTAGATGCGGGTCTATTTTACGGCGCATGCTAAGCAAAAAATGCTCTGATAAAAATGTAAATGTCAAATATGGATAAATCTCATGCAATCACAATTACCTAGATTCTCTGAAGTTACTCGTTGTGAAGATTTGGCTAAGCCTTTGCAAAGCAGCTCATAAGATTTGTCCTGCATGAAAAACGCTAACAGACGTTCCCACGGGTACGCACCGTATTTTGCTCACAATACTTGTCTCAATATTTGTTTCCTGCTTGTCTAACTACTTGGGAAAGTTCAATAAGAAAAGATGCGATCCTATTTTTTTGATAAGTATATTAGAATTCGAGATGTTATGAGGAGACAAGAGAAAAACGTAAAAC